TAATTGCTTAGGATATGACAATAAAGAAAGTTTAGCTGTGAATAAAGAAAAGTTGTAACAAGAGTTAAAATGCAGGAAATTTTGAAGATAATAAATAAGATCAAACATAAAATAAAATCTGTTGAAGTTTGTGTTTAGGAGAGTCTTCCAGGGCAGCCCAGGTGGCTCAGCAGTTTAGCACTGCCTTCAGCCCTAGGCCTGATCCTGGAGTCCCTGGATTGAGTCCCACGTCGGGCTCCCTGCATGGAGCCTGCTTCTCCCTCTGCCTATGTGTCTGCCAATCTCTCTTTCTGTGTCTCTCCTGAATAAATAAATTAAAATATTTTTAAAAAATTAAAAAAAAGGAAAGTCTTCCAGCTCTCGGGTACCTAACAGTTTATATATGGGGATAATAAATAGCACAGGTAGCTGGAATATGAGAGCATGTTTAGGAGGCAGTGATTTACATCATGCCTTTACATTGTGTTTCTTACATAGTGATGTTTGCATTACGTTGGGACTTATGTGATATGAAAATAATATGAAGTTATATATATTTTTAAAGTTTTTTTTCAGTTTTTTAAAATTTAATTTTATTAAATTCTAATTAGTTAACATATAGTGTAATATTGGTTTCAGGAGTAGAATCTAGTGATTCATCGCTTACATATAACACCCAGTGCTCATTACATCCTGTGTCCTCCTTAATGTCCATCACTCAATTATCCCATCCTCCCACCCCCCTTCCCTCCAGCAACCCTCAGTTTGTTTCCTATGATTACTTATGTTTTTTCTTTTTCTCTGATTTCATCTTGTTTTATTTTTCCCTTCCCTTCCCCTATGTCCTCTGTTTTAAAAGGTTTTTAAACTTTGAAGGGTTTTTTTTTTTGATAGGTTAAAGGAATAAGAGAGTTGGAAATAAAAATAATTAGGATGCAGCACAAAGAAGTAATGAACAATATGAAAGGGTGATTGGGATAGAGAGATGAGGTCTAATATTATCTCTTAGATGTTTTACAAGAAAAGAAATAAAAATATTTGAATTATAACAGTTGAAGTTTTCCAGAATTTATGAAAGACATAAATCCATTGAAAAAGAGCATGACATATGCAAACAGAAGTTTAGAAATCCATGCCTTGGCATATTGTATTGAAACTGATAGAGTAGACAGTTAAACAGGAGCTGGAGGCAAGGGAGGTGATAAATAGGTTACACATTAGAAACCTGAGGGCACAATGTCCTGACTTTATGGCTCTCAACATCTTGGTCTTCTGGCTTCCAACATCCCCAGGCTGACAGATCAAGAGCCACAGGTGCAGAACAGAAGCTCTCTCTCCTCTTACACCTCCACCCCAGGGTAACCCCTAGGCTCATTATAATTCATTTGCATTACCATTTCCCCTCTCCGTGGGGAAAAGTTGTCATAAGGGTTCTGTAGGGTCAGAACTTTGTAGGGTCAAAACTCCCCCTCCTAACTACTGGGAGGTGCCCCCACAAATGATTGGAAGCAGCCTCCATTAGACACCACCCTGCCCATGATCCAAAACCCCACTTACACACAAAGAAAATAAAACCTGTAGCTTCAGGGCAGTTGCCACCTCTGGGCCTGCCCTCTCTCCCATCTGTCCTATAGAAACTGTTTTGTACTTGGGATGCCTGGGTGGCTTGGTGGTTGAGCATCTGCCTTTGGCTCAGGGTGTGATCCTGGGGTCCTGGGATGGAGTCCTGCATCGGGATCCCCGCAGAGAACCTGCTTCTCCCTCTACCTATGTCTCTGCCTCTCTCTCTGTGTCTCTCATGAAGAAATAAATAAAATCTTAAAAAAGAAAGAAAGAAACTGCTTTGTGCTTGCTACTTTCCTTCTGGCTGTCTTTCTTCTAGCTAGCATGGATCTTCATGTAAATCTTTTACAGGGAATCCAAGAACTGATACCTTTATTCACAACAACGCAGAATCTCCAACTAGTAACAAAAATTATAAAACATCAAAGATATAAAGAAAATTGATTCTAGGGGCACCTGGGTGGCTCAGTGGTTGAGCATCGGCCTTTAGCTCAGGTCATGAACCCGGGGTCCTGGGATCCAGTCCAGCATCAGGATCCCTGCAGGGAGCCTGCTTCTACCTCTGTCTGTGTCTCTGCCTTTCTCTGTGTGTGTCTCTCATGAATAAATAAATAAAATCTTTTAAATAAATAAATAAATAAATAAATAAATAAATAAATAAATAAATAAATAAAATAAAAGTAGCCAGGGAGAACAGACAGATCACCATGAATGGTAATTAGACTAGCAGCATACTTCCCAGTAGCATCAACAGAGTCTAGAAAAACATTGTCTCCAAAATACTGAGAAAAAATACCTGTTAACTTAAAATACTGGCCCCAGCTGAACTATCACATAAAGATAAAGATATTTTCAGACAAATAAGAAGCACTAACATATGTACTTCAGCAATAAAGAAATTAAATCCAAATCAAAGGAATGAGATGTCAGAAGCAAATTTAAGACAATAAAGGGATAAATTTGAACATGCATTTTTTTAAATATTTATTTATTTATTTATTGGTAGAGACACAGAGAGAGAGAGAGAGAGAGAGAGAGAGGCAGAGACACAGGCAGAGGGAGAAGCAGGCTCCACGCCGCTGGGAGCCTGAGTTGGGACTAGATCCCAGGTCTCCAGGATCACACCCTGGGCTGCAGGCGGCGCTAAACCGTTGCGTCACGGGGGTTGCCCTGAACGTGCATTTTTTTGAACATGCATTTTTTTTTTTTTGATGAAATGATACCACTACCACCAACAATAATAATAATAAAGTAATTTGAGGGTATATTTTCTATGGCACTAAAATACTAGTAAACAATAACATAAAATGGGAGGAAGGAATCAGTTAAAGCTCCTTTGTGTCCTTGTATTATTCAAGACAAAAGAAGAGATAGTGAATAACTGTAGAATTGTTTTGCATGCATATTAAAATTTTAAGGGTTGCTGTTAAAAGAATAGAAATAGAAGGAAAAATAGGGAAGGGAAAGGAAATAAAGAAAGCTTGATTTATCTAATAGGAGGCAAGAAAGGAGCAGAAAAAACTCAAAATAAACACAGAAATTAGAAAGAAAACAAGATAGTAGAAATCTACATAGATCAATAATAAAAGTAAACATAAGGCCAAACTTAGCAGTTATAAGGGAATCACAGAATATTTTAAGGTTCAATTAAATATTGTTAAATATTATATAGCAGTTAAAATTAACAAACCAAAATGTCAACAAGGATACAGCCCCAAACATAATGTTGATTGGGAAAAAAGAGGTAAAAGAATATTGCAATATTATAATATTTATGCATATTTTAATGCATATTTTTAAATACCTCAAATTATAATGTACACTTTTTATATTTACATATATATGTACACACCCATGGAGATTTATATAGTAAAATTATAAAAACAGACATGGAAGCAATACGCAGAAACTTTGAGATACTGGTTAGGGAAGGAGTAAAGTTAGGGAAAAGGAATGAATGAGCTTTCACTATTTCTTTAATGTTTTGATTCTTTAAAAAAAAAAATTTAAACCAGGCCCTGGGGGGCTCAGTTGGTTAAGTTTTCAACCCTTGATTTCAGCTCAGGTCAAGATATGAGGGTCATGAGATTGAGCCCCAGGTTGTTCTCTGTTCTCAGTGGGAAACCTGCTTGAGATTCTCTCCCTCTCCCTCTGCCCCTCCCTGTTCATGAACTCTCTCTCTCCCCCCACCTCTCTCTCCCTCCCTCCCTCTCTCTCCCCTCCCTCAAATAAATAAATAAATAAATAAATCAGACATGACAGACTTAATATCTATTTTATCTTCATAGGGGTTTGGTAATGTCTATCATTTCTCTACTTTTCTCAATGTTTGAAATGTTTCCCAATTTAAAATAAAAGTGTTTCAATAAAGTCTTGTTAGTTTCCACTCCTAGGTATCGATCCAAAAGAATTGAAAACAGATAATTGTACACCAATGTTCATTGCAGCTTTACTCGCAATAGCAAGAGGTATAAACAACCTAAGTGTCCACCAACAGACAAATGAATAAACAAAATGTATGTATGTACCATGAAATAGTCAAAAGAAATGAGTTTTGATACATACTGCAATGCAACATGGGTAAACCTTGAAACTATTATGCTAAGTGAAATAAGCCAGATACAAAAGGACAAATATTAGATGATCCATTTATATGAAATACCCAGAACAAGCAAATTCATAGAAACAAAAACTATATTAAAGGTTACCAAAGCTCGAGAGAGGGGCAGTGGGAAGTTATTATTTAATAGTTATAACGTTTCAGGGCATCTGGGGGGCTCAGTGGTTGAGTATCTGCCTTTGGCTCAGGTCATGATCCCAGGATCCTGGGATCAAGTGCTGCATCAGGCTCCTGGTAGGGAGCCTGCTTCTCCTCTGCCTGTGTCTCTGTCTCTTTCTCTGTGTCTCTCATGAAGAAATAAATAAAATCTTTAAAAAATATAATAGTTTTAAGTTTCTGTTTGGGGTGATGACAATGTTTTGGAAATAAGTATTATGGTTGCATACATTATAAATACAATTAATGCCCCTTAATTGTATGCTTAAAAATGGCTAAAAGGACAAATTCTGTTATATTTATGACAATTTTTTAAAATAATGTAATATGTCAAAAGCCATTGAATAGTTTTGTTTGTATATTATTGGTTTTTAAGGATTTTATATATTTGAGAGATAGTGAGAGAGAACATGAGCAGGGGTAAGGGGAGAAGCAGGCTCCCCACTGTGCCCCATCAGGCGCTGGCTCCCAGGACCCTGGGATCATGACCTGAGCTGAAGGCAGACACTTAACCTATTGAGCCCCCAGGTGCCCCTTGTATATTATTTAAGGCCTCTATTAACAGTATTTGCCATTTATTGACTTTGAAAAAAATCAAACTGTAAGCTTTTATTACAAATTAAAAAATTAAGTTCTTAAAATCTCAACTTTGCCAAGTATGAAACAATTTTTAAATCTTCAAAGGTGTTTTCAGAAAAAAATAGGCTTTAAAACACATCATTGCCCAAAAGAGATGTCTTGAGGTAAAATGAATAAAAGGCCTGTGCTGCATAGATAAGGCAGTTTGGTTAACTGGTCAACAGGCAAAAGGCAAGCACTTGAGGCCTTCAGCTCCCATCTTTGGTTCATTTCTTCTGGAATGTCATATTCGTTTCTTCTGGTTGGAGGACGAAGCTCGCCTTGGAGAAGACAGGCCCGCGTTTCCTCAGCCTTAGGCTCTGGAGCGGCCGATACTCAGCAGGTGGATGGGCTGCTGGGGTTGTCTGTCCTCCTGTGTTTTCAGGGTTTTCTGGGCCTGCCTTCAGGTGTGACCCCGCAGCACTGTCTACGTTGGGTCTCATCTCCCCATGTCTTCATTGCCGTCCCCTCTAGGTGGTCTTCACCGCCTGCGCCCTCGTCCATGTGCTGTCTCACGGGTCTCCCTTGCTCTCCTGCATCCGCTTGTCAACACCCTCCATCCCTTCCCATTGCGCAGGATGGGGAGCAGCAGTTGCCGAAGGTAGGGTCCCGGCGGGGTCAGGTGGGCTCCGGAGCCTGGGCAGGCGGGTGCGGTGGGGCCTGGCCTCGAGGGGCACTCTCCACCCCTCCTTCTTTCCCTCCTCTCACTGTTCTGGTACCTCTGCAGGTCATTGCTGGGAGGCCCCTTGCGCTTGGCTAGGATGCGGTCCTCTGCGGGTTTATGCCTCGCACTGGGGCTCCAGCAGGGCGGGTAGCATTGCTTCTTCTCCTCCGACATCAAACTCCATAGTCTCTGCAATCCCCGTGCCTCAATGTAGGGGTTCTTCTCCTTCATGGCAGTCTTGTGTTCAAAAACATCCTCCTTGGTGTCATTCCTGTTGGTGAAACCATATCTATTTCTTACACAGAATCATTTTATGGTTTCTACTACCTTTCTTGTGATGACATTCCTGTCCCCTCCGGCAGGTGTGTCAGTGTCAGCCTCCTGGGATGCTGCGCCCTGGTCTACTGTGGGCGTGTGGGGCTCTGTGAGGGCAGTACTGAGAGCAGGTGGCTGTGAGCTACCCGGCCTCCATGTCACTGCTTGGGGTCACAATCACAGTGCTGGGACCCTGGGCCAGCTTCAATGCTGTGGCCCCTCCTCAGTGTGAGTGTAACTAGGCTGGCCATGGCTGTGGGGCTGCTCAGGGCTCTGGGGGGGGGGGTCTGCTCTGTGCTCACGCTGTGGATCCAACTCCAACTGTACACTTTAAATGAGTGAACCCTTGGCATGTGAATTAATATCTCTATAAAGCTGTTTTAGAAAATCTTGATAGTAAGGGACAGCCTAAAAATAAAACTGATTTGACATCCCAGGATCAAGGGCCACTTTGATCATCTGGGCCTCTGTTTTCATATTTATAACATATACTAGATGACCCCCTAAGATTCTTTCCACCATTAAGAACACAAGAGTCTACAAAAGACAGAGGTCAAGAGCATCAAGACAAATTTCTCTGGACTGCTAGTTGAAGCTCCAGTTTTGTTTTGTTTTTTTTTTTTTTTAATTTTTATTTATTTATGATAGTCACAGAGAGAGAGAGAGAGAGGCAGAGACACAGGCAGAGGGAGAAGCAGGCTCCATGCACCGGGAGCCCGATGTGGGATTCGATCCCGGGTTTCCAGGATCGCGCCCTGGGCCAAAGGCAGGCACCAAACCGCTGCGCCACCCAGGGATCCCGAAGCTCCAGTTAACATAAGGTCAAGTGTTGGTTGCTCCCTGTTTGAGGCAGGTGGTGGCAAATTCTCCCTGAGAGAGACAACTTTGTTAGAGACACCAAAATGAAATGGAAGAAAAAGAAAATACTATGAACCCAGTAATTTAATCCTGGCTGTGATGTTGGAGCCTTGATCTGGTCCCAGGCAGTCCTTAGGGGTTGGGCCAACTTCCAGATCACCCGTGCGTTGCAACACAGGCTGTTGCTGTCCACCCTGCCCCCATTGCTCTATTGCCAGATTCATATTTCATAAATTATGCCTATCTTTATCTGTATAAAGAAAAATTTAGTATATTAGCCCTCATTCTGTTTAGCTCCAGAATACAGAAGCAGACAATGTGTAGGAACCGCTGAACACTTTGGCTCCAAATAAGAAGAAATTTTTTAACAATTAAGATGATATGAAAATGGAGTGACAATCTGATAATATGATGAAACTCATTAGTGGGCATGTCCAAGAAAGAGATCACACCACCAAGATTGCCATAGAGCAATTCTCAAACTTTCTCTGCATCAGAAACACCTGGAAAGCCTGTTAAACCACAGATTGTTCAGCTGTCTCCCAGAGCTTCTGATTCAGCACCAGGACAAAGCCAGACAATTTACTTTTCTAGTAAATTCCCAGGTGCTTCTGGTTTTGCTAATTGGGGGACCACACTTTGAGGACCACTGCTAAAGGGGATCTCCTGCCATTGAGCTGGATGCAATAGCAGATAACTTCCAAGGTATCTGTCAGCTCTGAGATTCTGTGAATCCATGAAAGGTCCATACAAGGCAAACAGGTTCTAAAGAGATGAATTTGCTCCAAAAATAGAACTCAGTTCACTTTAGTTCACAGAACCAACTACTTATAGAACACTCATTATATTCTTAGTAATAACTCAAGGTATGATTTTAAGAATTACAGCAAATGATCCCAGCTCTCAAAGAGCCTACATTTGAACTAGGAAGGCAACTCCTACTTCCTCCAAGTAACTTTCACCTATTTGACAAATGTTTATTATGTGTCTACTATCCTTCCATCTATATAAAATGCACATGGCAGTACAAAGGATGGAAGAGGGAGATCCAACCTAAGAAGTACATAAAGTCACAAGAAGAAAGATGAATACAGTGCAATAAGATATTGAGAGACAGAGAAACCACATTCACATAACTTTTATTACAGCATATTGTCATCATAATCGTTCCCTTTTGTTATTATCTGTTGTTGATCTCTTACTGTGCCTAGTTTATGAATTAAATTTTATCATAGATGTATATGTATAGGAAAAAACATATAAAAGGTTCGGTACTATTTGTGACTTCAGGCATCCAGTGAAGGTCTTGGAACATATCCCCATGTATGAAGGGGAGACTACTGTACTTATTTTGTCTGGGATACTTCATATCAGAAATAGAATTTGATCTGGTCCTTAAGAGTTGAGGAAGTAAGATCATCGCCATCATATCTCCATGGAACAAGTGAGTAGGGTATTTATCTAAACACTCCTCACTGTTATCTGGTTCCTTCCACTGTCACAGTTTCTCCTCCTCTACCAATAGCAGCAGAACTAAGTCTCAGAGGACCCTGGATGGTGCTGTTCCTAAGTATCTCGGATGGTGATGAGCAGATAAGCAGCAATGTACAGAGTTTCTCAACTTCAGCAACATGATTTCTTAGATTGGATAGTGTTTTGTTACTGGAGGCTGTCTGTGTATCATAAGATGTTTAGCAGTATCCCTGGACCCTATCCCCTAGAAGCTAGAAGCACTCCTTCCCCAGTTATAACATCCAAAAATATTACCAGACACTTCCAAACGTCCCTGTGGGGGAACATCACCCCCAGTTGAAAAACACCTGTGTAGATGGATTCTCACACACATAGAATCACCAGGTTTGGCAGATAAGAATAGAGGATCCCTGAAAAAATAACCCGTAAAGTGGGAGAAAATATTTGCACATCATATATCTGCTATACATTACCAGGGATGAATTTCAGAGTATACAAAGGACTCCTACAACTCAACAACAACAACAACAACAACATAAAACCCCCAATTAAAAATGGACAAAGGACAGTTCTCCACAAGACATAAAAATGGCTGATAAGCAGGTAAAAAGCTGTTTAATATCCCTCGCTATTGGGGAAATACAAATCAAAATGATAGCGAAGCATAGGGGGAAAATGATGGAATGGAAGAAAATATTTGCAAGTCATATACCTGATAAGGGATTAATATCCAAAATATATAAGGAAACCCTAAGATTGAAGAGCAAAGAAATAGCTCAATTTAAAAATGGGCAAAAGCCTTGAATAGACATTTCTCCAAAGAAGACATGTAAACAGCCAAAAGACACATGAAAAGATGCTCAACAGCATTCATCATCAGAGAACTGCAAATCAAAATCACAATATCACCTCACACCTGTTATGATGGCCATTATTTTTCTTCTTATTTGAGATAGAGAGAGACGGAGAGAGAGAACAGGGAGAGGGGCAGACGGGGAAGGAAAGGGAGAGGGACAAGCAGACACCCCACTGAGTGCAGAGCCTGATGCAGAGCTCCATCTCATGACCCTGAGATCATGACCTGAGCTGACACCAAGAGTCGGACACTTAACTGACTGAGCCACCCAGACACCCCTAGTATGGCCATTATTCTTTTTAAAAAAGAAAGAAAAAAGGTGGGTGTTGGCAAGGATGTAAAGAATGGGATCTTTGTACACAGTGAATGGGAATGGAAAATGACGTAGCTGCTTGAAAAAAATAGCATTAGAGATTCCTTAAAAAACAAAAACAAAGGAAAATCAAAATCAAAACAAAACAAAACAAAAAAACAAAAAAACTCTACCATATGATCCAGCCATCCCACTTTTAGATATTTATCCAGAAGAACTGAAATCAGAATCTTGAAGAGATATTGGTACTCTGACATTCACTGCAGCATTATTCACAACAGACAGACAAGACAACCTAGAAGTCCACGATGGATAAATAAAGAAGATATGGCATTGCATATACAATGGACGTACATCGTACATGGAATGTTATTCAGTCTTTAAAAAAGAAATAAATGTTGCTTCAAGGCAACATGGATGAACCTTGAAGACATCGAGTAAAGTGAAATGAGTTAGTCACAGTCGGACTACTACCTCGTGATTCCACTTATCTGAGTTATTTAAAATTGTCAAACTCATGGAAGCAGAGAGTAGAATGGTGGTTGCCAAGGGTTGGGGAGGGGTAACGGGAAGATGTTATTCGACAGATAACAAATCCCAGTTACCCAAGATGAATACTTTCCTAGAGATCCACTGTACAACATGATGCCTTGTTGCTAACAATACTGTCCTATGCACTTGGAAACTGTTAAGAGAGTAGATCTCATGTTAAATGTTCTTACGACAATTCAAACAATAATAATGAAATAAAATGGAAAAAACACAATGAGATATTTCTTCACACTCATTAGGATGGCTATACTAAAAATAACTGTTTTAAGCACAGAAAATAAGAAGTTTGGGCAAGGATGAGGAGAAATAGGAATCCTTGTGTACTGCTGATTAGGAATATAAAATGATGTGGCTGCTGTTTAACACCAAAAAGTTAAACATAGAATTACCCTACTATCTGGCAATTCCACTTCTAGGGAATTCAAATCAATCAATCAATCAATCAATCAAACCAGGGACTTCAACAGAGAGTTATACCCCAATGTCCACAGCAGTATTATTCATGATAGAGAAAAGCTGAAACACCCCAAATGACCACCAACAGATGAATATATAAAATGTGGTGCATACAATGGAATCTTATTTAGCCTTAAAAAGGAAGGGAATTCTGATACATGCAACAACATGGATGAGCCTTGAAAATGTTATGCTAAGTGAAGTAAGACAGACACAAAAGGGCAAATATTGTATGACTCCACTGATACAAGGCACCTAGAATTGGCGGATTTATAAAGATGAAAAATATTGTAGATGTTACCGTGGCATGTGGGAGGGAGTGAGGAGTTCTTTTACAATGGGTACGGTTTCTGTTTGGGATGATGAAAAAGTTCTGGAAATGCACAGTTGTGATGGTTGCAGAATATTGTGAATGTACTTCACATCACTGAATTGTACACTTGAAAATTGCTGAAAGGGTAAATTTTATGTATATTTTATCACAACAGCAAAAAAATGTTTAATACAGGACCACCCATTTCCATTTGAAATTTATATGAACAATGAATTTTTTAGCGTGTGTCACATGCAATTTTTAGGCTGTACTTATTCTGAAAAAAAAAAAGTTATTGTTTTCTAACATTCAAATGTAGCTGGGCATTCTGCATTTTCTCTGGAACCTCAACAAAAGAAGCTCAGAGTCTTAACTTAGGTAGAAACAAAAAAATGGAGACGATTCCAGAGATGTTTTAGGATTAACACTGATAGGACTTGGTGACCGAATGGGATGAGCACATGCTGAAGAGGAACAAATTTTGATTAGCATGGAGGTTTCTGTTTTATAGCACCAAAGTGTCATTCATGGAGATAAAGAGCCACCACGACCATCCAGTTCATTCATTTGTGCACTAACCTGTACACTTGGCTGACGTTGTATGGGCTGTCAGACCTCAGTGAATAAATAAGGGAGTATAGGGTTCAGTGGCACAAAGGACAAGTAAGGAGACAGTCACAATAAGTTATGAAGAGTTCCATGATGAAGTACCCACGTGGCAAAGACAGCTTGTGGCAGGGGTTCCCAGACAGCATCAGATGGCAGCTCACTGGAGTCTGGCATAGGGGAGAAGCAGCATCTGGAGTCCTTGGAAGAGACGGGACGGTCCTGGCCTCCGGGGCTGTCACCTGGGGTGGCTCCGCAGACCAGGAGGAATCTCACTTTTTTATTGTCTTCCAAAGATCACTGTCCTAAGGAGGAACTTCACAGCTCTTAACCCAGCCGAACCTGTTGCCGGCAGATTCAGATATAATCTTGCAAACTGGAATGACTACCGTCTGCCCTGCAGCCTTCCTGGAACAATGATTTTATTTTATTTAAAGATTTTATTTATTTATTCATGAGAGACACAGAGCAAGAGAGAGAGAGAGAGAGAGAGAGAGAGAGAGAGAGAGAGAGAGAGGCAGAGACACAGGCAGAGGGAGAAGCAGGCTCCATGCACCGGGAGCCGACGTGGGACTCGATCCTGGGTCTCCGGGATCGCGCCCTGGGCCAAAGGCAGGCGCCAAACCGCTGCGCCACCCAGGGATCCCTGTATTTTATATTTTATCTTTAACATTTTTCCAGGCAGCCTGGGTGGCTCAGCGGTTTAGCGCCACCTTGGGCCCAGGGCATGATCCTGGAGACCCGGGATCGAGTCCCACGTCGGCTCCCGGTGCATGGAGCCTGCTTCTCCCTCTGCCTGTGTCTCTGCCTCTCTCTCTCTCTGTGTGACTATCATAAATAAATAAAAATTAAAAATAAAATAAAATGCATTGCCAGGGTCCTTCCCAACCACAGGTTTCCCAGCACCCGAAGTGGGGCAGCCAGTGGGACCTGGGAAATGGGCAGCTTCTCGGTTGGGTTGATTCCTTGGCTTCCCTTCTGCATCGGCTAAACTGGCCCCCACTGCTGCCTCGTATACTGTGTGCATCCATAAATTATCACTTCATTAGACACGTTGTAGCACCACTAAAATTACATCTGCAAAATGCATCATTAAAGGACTGGGGCTGGCTCAGGAGGAGTGAGTCACCAAGATTAAAGAAAAGCCATTTCTAAAATCCTGGCATTTCTTGGGAAATTCCCTGAGGCGGCTCAGCAGGAAGTTAAATGGCCTTGTTAGCCAACTGGATTCTTTGTAACTTTCTGTGCCTAGAGACACAGCCTCTTCTCAGCTCCTTTTGGATCTTTCTACTTGGTAGGCAGGGTGAATTTCTTGTCAAGTTTGGTGAAGATTTAGAGGTGTCTGGCTATAAATCAGCCAAAATCCTGGGGCTGGCTAGGGTAACCCGAATATATCCTGCACCGTGATTTTAATCCAAGTGAATGTACTCTTACCTTATTGCATGGGCACAGGACGCATGGGGGCAGAGCCTGAGAATGAGAGGGCTGAGCAAAGGAGGCTGCAGATGGAATTTTTAGAGCAGTAAAACTATTCTGTATGATGCTGTCATTATACACTATCCAAACCCACAGAATGTACAACACCAAGAATGAGCCCTAATGCAAATTGGATTTCAGGTGACAATGTATTGATATTGGCTTATCACTTGTAAAAAATGTCCCCCACTAAGGCCAGAGGTTAGTAGTAATAGTTGAAGCTAGGTGGGGAATAAGGGGAGCTCTCTATACGTTGTGTTCAATTTTCTGTAAACTCAAAACTGCTAAAAATAAAATGAAGTCTCCTAATTTAAAAACAAGAGAAGGGGGCTGCAGAGTCTTCCCAGGGTAGGACTGGGATAGAGGCAGGACAGGCAAGGATTGGATTCATTTATAAATGGGTGAGGTCTGAGCAAGCAGGACTGTAACCACTTAAACGGCGGGGACTGGGTGGCTCAGTGGTTGAGCATTTGCCTCTGGCTCAGGCCATGATCCCCGGTCCTGGGATAGAGTCCCACATGGGGCTCCCCATAGGGAGCCTGCTTCTCCCTCTGCCTGTGTCTCTGCCTCTCTCTGTGTGTCTCTCATGAATATATAAATAAAACCTTAAAAAAAAAAGAGGGCAGGGACTTTTATTAATTTCTGTATGTGTGTATCATAATATGTTTGCTATATGAGTGAATGAATAAATGAATGAATAAAACTGATTTAAGGCAGTTATCAATGGGTCAATGATTTAGAAACACCAAGGAATCTTCTCAAAAGATAGAAGTCCGTTTTTCCTTCTATCCAGCCCATTAGACCTGCAATACACACTCACATGTGTGCACAACCTTCCCCTCTCCCCCCGCCACACACACACATATAAAGGTGCCTCATCCCCAATCCCTGGGGATCCCTGGGTTGAGAGCTACAGTTTTTAGGGATTTCCTCACCCTTCATGCACACAGCTAACAGGATAAATGTACTATTGCCCTGTGTTGCCTGGAGGAGACCCAGGCTAAGAAAGAACCCATCCTTGCCAAATGAATTTTGCATGTAACAGAGCTATGCATGCTGGCAGAGAATGTGGCTACCCATAGCATATGCAAAAAATTCTCTGTTTCTCTTCCTACTGCTTCTATCTGGACAGAAGCCTCCCTCCCAATGCTTACTGGACTTCATTAAGGACTCCAGAAGGCCTCTGCTAAAACACCTGAACCACTCCTGTTCTCCCCACAGCAACCTAAGCATGACCCATATACCTGATAATCTAGCTGGCACCTTACTCCTTGGGAAGAGGTGGGGAGGGTAAGAGGCCAGCTTGGATTATAAAAGGGTATGAAGGAGGCTGGTAGTGGAAGAGTTATCATAACTTCATACCCTGGAAGGTCAGTCTAGAAGGATATCAAAGGCTTGGAGTGAGCTCTGGATTCAGGGGATCATGAAAAAGTTGGCATTTAAGCTCAGGTTTAGGAATAAATAGTAATTTCCATGTAGGCAGAGAAGGCAAGAAGGAATTAAAATCAGAGTTTGAATGTTTCAGATATTGTTAGGCGTTGGCCCATTGCCCACTGCCCATGTCTGACAGCAAGAGAGAGGCAGTTTTAAGTCACTTATGCATAGAGTCCTGGGCCCACATCAGCTTTAGCGGAAGAGCTGGTCTCAGAGCAGAGGAGCTACCCAGTGAGTTCCACCCCTGGACATTCTCGGTGTTTCTGGCTTAGAGCCTACTCTGCCTAGGTAAACTTGGCCTTTCTTCCTTCCTGTCTCCCTCCTTCCCTCTTTCCCTCCTCCTCATCCTCTTCCTCCTCCTCTTCTTCCTTCTTCTCCTGCTTTTTTTTCTTTATCTTTTTCTTCCTTCTTTTCCTTCCCCCCTCTCTCTCCCCCTGTCTCCCTTCTTTCTCTCCCTCCCTCCTTCCTTCCTTTCTTTCCTTCTCTTTCTGATGTTGTCAGAAATACCAGGAACATGTTCCAGCTGTCCAATTTCTTAACTTGTCTAAGAGGCAAAGCATGGTGAGCTCACTCCACTGGAACTTGGATAGATTTCCCTAAGCCAAGAAACAGCACAGCGTGTCTCACATTCAGAAATCCCACATAGAATCCTGTGATAACAGCGGAGCAAAGGATTAACTTTATGAATTACACTAGTGCTTCCCAAACTTTAATGTCCATGCAAATAACCTGGGGATCTTGTTAAATTGTAGGTTCTGATTCAGTACATCTAGGCTGGAGTCTGAAATTCAGCATTTCTAACCAACTCCCAGAGATTACTGTTGATTCTGGTTGGTGGGATCCACTCGTTGAGTAGCAAAGGATACATCATACCAATAATGTATAAGGGTGCAAACTCTTAGCCTCATTTGTAGACTATATGAAAGAACGTTCAGCTACCACTTGTCTGCCCATGGCTACTTCCAGGTTCCAACTTCTGGGATCTGAAGGGGCATGTTGTGGTCTGACTGGTTGGTCCAGAATATATTCATCTCTCCCCCCAGAGAGTAGACATCACCTTGGACCAGGGGTCAGTAAGAATCTTTCTACTAAACTATGTGAACAAGGCAAGATGAGAAGAGTGCTTCTAATTTTTTTTCAAGTGGAAAAAAAAAGGTATTAAAAGTCATTAAAATGTAAGCTCCAAGAGGATAGAGATTTTGTCTTTTGGTCATCCTTTATTCATACCATCTACCCTAGAACAGACTTTGGCACATGATAGGCACTAGGGTGTGTGTAAATGAGCAAATAATAATAGTTATCATACACTGAACATAGAGTATATGTCAGTCTATGCAAATTATCACATTTCTTTCCTACAACCAGACAGGAGTTTTATTAACTCCAACCCTACTGGTAGGTCAAGAAATGCTTAAATAGCTTGCTGAGCTAATAGACTTAGTGGTCTTAGTGGCAGTGGTAAAGCTCAGGCTAAGGCTTCCTTTATAACTTCTGTGGCCAGTCGTCATTCTAGCCTGTACTCTGGAGATTTTATGGGTTGTAAGCATTCCCAGTCTTGTCTTTCTTGGCATAGGAGGGTAACTAAACAAGAGCAAGCAAGGGTACATTGAGGAAACAGTCAAGCAAAGTCTGGACAATCTTTGTGGCACCACTGAGGCCAGAGGCACTCCATGGGGACCATTTGTAAGCCAGCCACATGTATTAAGAATAGTCACAGAGTTCCTTATTTACTCTCAGACCCATACTCTGCATTTCACAAACCCCCTGGTCTACTGGCTTCTGGGTGGTGAATCCAGTAGGATGCATCAGCAGAAGAGAGCAGAAACCAAGATAACTCTGTTTTTCCCAATGGGCTTTGGGGTGGCATTTCTGACAGTGGCTGTCTCCTCTGAGTCCCAGCTTTTGTGACCTTGTAGTTCAACCTCTGGCTGGATATTCTCACTGCGGTTCTAACTCCAACTACATCCAGCATCATACTTTGACAAGGCTACCTTGTTCTGTTGTCCAGCCAAGCCTAAGAATGGAGCAGCATCCTGCTGTTACTAATCATAGGATTATCTCATCTTCTCATGCTTGGTTTCTAAGTGCTTTCATCTTTTCTATAACTGATTCCTTATATTAGATTCTCTCTATTGAAAGACTTAGAGTTGTATCCAAATAACCCAACTAAGAATGGGCAGAAGACATGAAAAGACATTTCTCCAAACAAGATATCCAGTTGGCCAACAGACACATGAAAAGATGCCCAACATCACTCATCATCAGGGAAACGCAGACGAAAACCACAATGAGCTAGCACCTCACACCTAGTCAGAATGGTTAAAATCAAAAACACAAGAAACAAGTGTTGACAAAGATGTGGAGAAAAAAGGCACCCTAGTGCACTGTTGGTGGGAATGCAAACTGATACAGTCATTGTGGAAGATAGTATAGAGTT